TGCCTCAACTGATACACATGAAACATTAAACGATTATCTGTGACAGAACTATGAAAATAAAGACTTCAATACAGTATATTGGAAATCTAATAGCAATATTGGGAGAAATATAAAATACAATAAGCCTACCATGGCACATAATATATACAAATGGAGGGCAAATATGGAAACTTTAATTAAAAGAATGAGAAAAAGTGATTTTGTTGATGACAGTCTAGCAATGATATTTTAAAATCACATTGGGAATTTCTTTTCATGTTCGTATAAATGCTTCTGAAATTTTGCTTAAGTAGAGATAACCAGAAATGGTGTGATATGTCAAGTCCTGTGTAAAACTGGGTTATATGACTCATCATCCACTATGGAAAGAAATAGAGACAGTACAAGTAGCAGTACAAGACAGTACTGAGTAGCTGACATCCTATCATAGCGTGACACTTAACCTATGCAAAATGTGTGTACAAAATGTATCATATACTTAAAAGCATGAGTATCTGTCTTTCTTTTCTGGTATACATATTAACCTAACTCTTTCCCTTCAGTGCTAAATAAAAACAAACATTTTAATATACAATATACAAAATCCATCTCATAGGATAGTGTGTATGATACATACATAAAATAATTTTCTTCTAATACAGACAAAAATTTGACATCACTCAGAAAGAGACATTCTACCTAGTCTTGTTTTGCTTGTTATCCACAAGCAAAAGCTTGAAACTCACTGACAGTCACAAGACCTATGCAATGACTCCACTATGAATGAAACCACCTTTCTGGCAAACAAATTCCTTACAGCTTCTGGCCATAAATCTTCATATAATCCTGTAACACATTTATATAGCAAATATGTTCCTTGCTTCATCATCAAGGGATGACTACTCTCTCATTCTGAGAAGCAACAAAAGCATTTTAACATTAGAAATAAGCAATTTAATATAAGCAATTTATACACTGGCTATTCAAAATTGATAAAGCATTTTGTGCCTTGTTCAGTAGTCTACATTCTTTTTTCCACTACCACAAAAATGTATATGTAAATCTGAAAAATAAACATTCCACACTTGGTTCTCTCATACTGTTGTTATGCAAGTTGGATACAACCTCATAAAAGCCAACATTAATTTCATCCTGTTACTATGACAGTTTTTGTTCCATACAATTTTCATAACAACATCCCACTGGAATATCACAGTCCATGTCAAAATATTGATAGTACTAATGACAAGAGATGATGATGATAAGTAAATCAGCATACAGTCATTTGGATTATATATACATATTATATATATATATATATATATATATATATATATATATATATATATATATATATATATATATATATATATATATATATATACACACATATATACATATATATATACACACATATATACATATATATATACATGTATATACATATATTCATATACATGTATATATATACACATACATACATATGTATACATACATGCATATGTATACATACAGGTATGTGTGTGTGTATGTATGTATGTATGTATGTATGTATGTATGTATGTATGTATGTATGTATGTATGTATGTATGTATGTATGTATGTATGTATATGTATGTATATGTGTGTGTGTGTGTGTGTGTGTGTGTGTGTGTGTGTGTGTGTGTGTGTGTGTGTGTGTGTGTGTGTGTGTGTGTGTGTGTGTGTGTGTGTGTGTGTGTGTGTGTGTGTGTGTGTGTGTGTGTTTGTGTGTGTTTGTGTGTGTTTGGTGTGTGTGTTGTGTGTGTGTGTGTGTGTGTGTGTGTGTGTGTGTGTGTGTGTGTGTGTGTGTGTGTGTGTGTGTGTGGTGTGTGTGTGTGTGTGTTGTGCATATGTATGTATGTATGTATGTATGTATGTATGTATGTATGTATGTATGTATGTATGTATGTATGTATGTATGTATGTATGTATGTATATGTGTGTGTGTGTGTGTGTGTGTGCATGTATGTATGTATGTATGTATGTATGTATGTATGTATGTATGTATGTATGTATGTATGTATGTATGTATGTATGTATGTATGTATGTATATATATATATATATATATATATATATATATATATATATATATATATATATATATATATATATATATATATATATGCACATATAAATTTGTTTACCCATTCATTTATTTCACAAAAAATAAGTCTGCAAACTTAGTTTCTGATGGAAAGTCGGGTGAAAATTAACAATTTCAGCCCCTTGCAATTCTCATTTACAACTGCACTTTAAAATTACAAGACTCCAAAAGTTATGGATAGAGATTAGGAACCTGAAACACGTAATTTCACAGTCAATACTGCTAAGTCTTGTGTGCAAATAAGATATTTATTATACACTGTAGTGCTTACTATGTATAATCAAGACCACACATTTTATCCTTTTGGAGGAGTCATACTTCAATTTCTTTTTTATTTCAATAGAAGGCAAAGAAAAATCAAAGCACATGACCTCCTGACTGAAAATTAGGATTAGTTAATGACAAAATACATATTATTCAACAAGTCAGAAAATCTGCAAATCTTCTGAGAAATCTGATAAAAAAAATAAAAGCTTGATAAATAATTGCTTAAATCATCTCTTATTGTTGCTTTGAAAAAATCATTTTCAGACAGTCATAGGATACTCAGTTACTAAGTGTACCTGAAACATAAAGTAGTCAGTGAATGAATTGCATCTTTTGTATATTATCATCTCTTTGATATATATTTATACTTTAAGACTTTAATAAAGTATTCAAAATATTATGCTTTCGCTTATGTTTCAAATATTGCTGATAATCTGCGTCTTCCAAGCTTGGGTTTCAATGACATAACTTTATACAGATTTCTTTTCCTCAAAATGGTTTCTAATACTGCAAAACTATTGTTCATCTACTGCTCTTTTAATATTCATACAAAATTTAAAATACTCAAAACATAATTAAAAAGGTAATCTAATAAAGTGTGTACAAGTTCTCATTCTGTAACAAGTATGAACCTAAAATATGGATGATCCACTGAATGAGACATACAACTTGGAGTATTCCTAATCACTTGCAACATACTTTGACAACCATTTCCTTCTTTATCATAATAACTACAATGATGATCCCACTGTACTAAAACACTGTAGAACTAAGATAACATACACACTTACAGCTTACAACATATACTTAGCAGATCAGAGATGCATTACACTTCGACCTTCCAAAAACTGGCTTATGAACCCAGACTGCGATTCAGTTCATGTACAAAAGTGACAAGACACAAATCGAAACATAACATAAAACTCAATGTTGATTTTATTTTTGTAATCAGATGTGCTATGTTCCATTCCAATACTAGTGGAAGAACAAGAGAGGCTCCTGCTAATATCGGCCACATTCATCTAAAAGGTACAACTTGTTTTCTGCCATCTATGATATTTCTGCTCTCTGTAGATTATAAAAAAGATATTACTTCAGGATTTTTTAAGTTCAACATAAATTATAAGTTTAAAATGGCAACTGTGCTTTACAGCATTGGAAAATGATATGAAAGAAAAAGAAGAACTTGTGCTCCCCAGTTTCCTACAAAGTAATACATGAATGGTGGTGAACCACACTCAGATCTAAACATTGTTCCTTTCATGAATGTGCCGTGAACTATTACAACAAGAGACCTAAAAACTAACCTTACAAACATCTTTGATTGAAGCTACTTGACAAATCAAGCCATCATAAATCTTGGCAAAATATATCGCTTCTTATCATGCATACAGTTCTTTGAGACCGTACACACTGCAGGGCAGACAAGCACTGACTTCACTGGTATCCATACCACCTTCCCTTTCCTCTGATGCAACTACAAAACTTCCTATTAATGCCTGAAGTTTACAAAAGTGAAAATTTATAGAATATCATAAATTTTCCCTCAAATATTGTGGTCCTTTGACTTCACATACTGTGAATATATTTACTTCAACCCCTTAAAAATTAAAAGAAAAAAGGGAAAAGTGATATACAAAAATTATCAGCACATCCAGTATACTAATCTTAACTTCTAAATAATCTACATTTCTAAAAATGCAAAATGAAAAAAAGAAAGAAAAAAAAAAACAATGTTTACATCACATTCAATTACTTGGGGTAGGGGGCATCCATTACATTATAATATATCACATGACAAATATCAGACATTTACATTCCATTACATGGATGATAATGTTCAGGATAACTGGTTATTAAAATTTGATTTTCTTGTTAAAGCAAGATTCAATTATCATCTTTATTTCAAAATGTGTTAAAGAGGTATAGCAAAATATTACAAAGACATGGTATAATTCTTAGTGCATTTGATACGGTTTGTTTTCTTTGCTGTTTACATAAGTATGTTTCTAATATGTGTGAATTGATAGCAGAGGCAGGAGCTTCCAGAACTTTGCTTCAGGCCAGCTGAAAGCTTATCACCAGCACCTCCAGATTTTGCCTACTTGGTGCAGATATTATGATATGCATGTTGAATTGCAGCATTGATAAAAGACATTTCACAAACTAAAAATCATATGTTAAACTGATAATAACTTTATCAAAACTGGCAGATCAGTGACTCCCAATACATTATTTGCTATTCAAAAAGTCTTATGAAATACTTTTTTGCAGTTAGATTACAACAGTGTATATCTCTTAAGCCACTGATTATATCAGTGGAAATGATTCAACAGTCAAGATGGGCAAAGTGATTGAAATCCATTTGAGAAAGAGAATGAGCAGTTGAGGGCCTCAGTAACATCCTCTGGGATGCAACAACTGGCCAACCTTAAGTTTTGGTGATTCTTCATGGATGCTCCCAGCCCTGACAAGCATGAGACTAGTGGTTTTTGGCCCCACAAGGCCACTAATACTTATCCTTCAGAAGACTCCAAACAACAAGGTGAGGGAGGAGGGAGGAGGACTGCAGAAGCAAGGTAGGTTTAATTGTTTCATATCAAGTCAATCTTCACAACAAGAATGACAGAGTAGGAAGAGGAACAGAACCTGTCAAAGATTCCTACAGACACCACTTAGTTCCTCACCATGATCCTGAACAAAGAGTATTCACATATTCCTCTGGCCATTCATAAACTCTAACTTTTCTTGTGAATTATAAAAAAGGATAAATAAGATACAGTTATAAAATGAATATTACCTTCACTGTCCAAAGTTGAAGAGTTACTTCTGTGTATAAGTTCACCTAAAAAAATCATTTTTCTCATTCTTACAAAACAAAATGCAATACTTTTCTGTCTGTGACCTTTGGCTAATATAGCATTTCTGACCTTACAGGAAAACAGGAACATGACCCATGTAAGTTAGGCAAGGGATGATGATAACTCAGTGACTGCCTTTCCTGAGGTTCAATTTTTTTCCCTCTTCTCAGTTGTGCAAAGTTCCTCTTTAATGTACTGTCTTAATCCAATATATTTTGGTAAAATCAGAAGCCTCTAACAGCCCTCTAAATTGTGAAGCAAATCTCAATAATTCAAACTGGTTCCCTAAAAGCAATCCTGCTGGTGCATGAATTCTCTTTTAGTATCTGATCTTATATGCCTTTTAGAAAATGTTATTCTCAGGCTAAACTAACAAGAAATTTGAAAGAAATCTTTATGTTATAACCTGCAAACAGTAAACTCTTCTTAACCATAAAAACAGAAATGTAGCAATCAAAGGTGTTTTAAATATATCAAAAGTTGAATTACAAAATGAATCTCTTATAGACAAAATTTTGTGGGTCTTAAACATACCCATTCCACTGTTATTTCCTATTATCACCTCTTTGACTGTGACAGGATCTTAGCTAAGTATTACATAATGAGTGAAAATGCTGAACTACATAAAATAATAATGGCTTAAAAGTTCAATTTCCTAAAAAAATTATCAGAATACTTCCAAATAAAAGTTAAAGACAGAGTTCAATATTTTGATTTAAATATCAATAGTTGGAAAAATATGCCCCCCAAAAAATTAAACTTACAACAATCAAACTACAATTTATCAATGTATTTTCCATTGGAACCAAAACCTGTCCACATTAGTACCACTACTGATCTAATCTTGTCTCTCAAACTGAAGAAAATTTTCATAATAATTTTCAAAATCAAATCTCAATATCAGAATAAGACATTTGTGAAAAATAAACAGGAAAAAGACACCATCTACCGGAATTTTGAAATACAGCAGTTCAAGATGATCATAAGAAAAGTCCTTGTATTTCTCTATGAAATGTGTAACACATCAAACTCTTGCTTAACCATCCTTGCTATTCATACTTAAGGTCCCAGCTATTTTTTTTTTTTTTTTAATCAAAATTTTGTAACATCCTAATTTATCATATAGTGATGTTCATAAACTCTATATCAATCCTTGCATGACGATATCTAATACTGAAAAACAAAACAAAAAGAAAATGGGATTTTAATAAGTTACCTAAACTCTATGAGAGGTACTGTAATAACATCTTTCTTTATGCTTGTGACAAACATTCCACTCTGCCCTTTGTACAGCCATCAGACAAAAGTAAAATCCTGTCTTACTCACATTTCTCCCTTACATTTCCTACAAACATCAATAACTTCAATTAATGTTCCTGATAATAGTATATAATATATCAATGGCAGTGAACAGGACCAGCTCTAATATTCACGACTGTGATTACAACAGCCAATCTCACTCAGGTCGTCCTAAGAAAAACTATAGAATCTGGCAAACTCTAAAATAATAAAAACATTTACTGATCCAAATTTAATACTTTTTTTTCTTCGTCAAAATGAAGTCTATGCAATCTGTATCAGGCAGTTACCGAGGACTTTTTTCTTCATTATCATCCTCCTCAACACATATAAGTAAATTTGTGCTTAATAAGGCCATACATCAACTCAACATTATAAAACACTAAAGACTTTTGCTGCTGCCTTTACCTAGATTCATTATAAACGATCATACAAAAATACACCAGCATCACAACACTTCATACAATATGAGAAAGCATTCTTCTCTACACATGAGCACTGCATCAGGAAGCAATTAAAAATGCACAGTAATTCATACAATTCATAAAACATTCACAACAACTAGGAAGCAGTACACAAGGGGAGTCTGCACAAGGCAACTCCTTTGGTTGCTTTTTTTTTACTCAGTTATGATGGTAAAATTGAATGCGTGATACAGATCTGTGTTCTGATGTCTTGTTACTAAAGAACAGTCTGTTACCATGAGTGACAATGAACAGAAACAAAAGTTCTGAAAAAAAATCAGTTCCAAATTTACATCAGTTGATCAGTATCCATTTTCTTGCCAAATGAATCTGTTTTTTTTTTTCATTTTGGTTTTCTTTAGTCTTCGTAATCATTTTGGCTATAAATCACTTGACACTTGAGGGATGTGTTGCTTTTACAAAAAATGCTGAAAGATTTGGTGCACCTAGAAATATGGAGAAAAATTAAGAGAGCAAGCACATCACTTGCCACAATCAGCAAT